AACATTTGTTTAGAAAATTGTCCCACCTATGCCCAATCCAAGAAATGACGGCCCAATGACACTTTTAGACTGAAGTCAGATAGGTGATTCTACCACTAGCGACAGGATCACTAAAGAGGATGTCTGTCTGTCCTGATGGAGGCGCTCCCTCTGTATCCTGATGCAGCAAGAAGTTGGTGTGCAAAAAATTCCTGAACCTTGAATGCTAGTGATGGGAGCGACAGCTTGCTGCCTCCACTACAGAGGTGGCGATTCTACAGGGACAGACGGGCAGACTCTTTTGCCAAAATCACCAGTGGGGGAATCGTCCCGTGTGACAGCAGCTGTGGAAAAAACATATCTCCTGGTAGCATTTTTCCATTTAAATGTTCTGCAAATGAAACAAATACATCATAATAATCTCGCAACAGAACACAAATTGGTTGCATTTTTCATTTTCATATCTCCTGATATCTGATATTAACAATATCTCCTGATATGATACAAACAAGGAATACATCACACAGAAGCTCAAAAACAGAACTCAAGGAAACAACAAGGAAAACTATCATAGCAACTAAAACACTCCAACTGTTTCCAACCGTGACCAGGCAGAAGACTGCCTTAGTTTTCCATATATTTTTAACAAGCAGCGAACCATCACTCACCTTTGTAGATGCAGGCACTGTAAAATAATTCATTCTCAAAGTTTGCAGTCAAAGCTTCTCAATTTTACTTTCACTTTCTCTCTGTAGCTCAGCTCCCCCTCCCCGCACTAATTTGGCAGCCTGCCAGGCTTTAAACTGAATTTTTGAAGCTATACCCAAAAAAGCAACAAAGGGAATAGCAAAGGTCAACAGCAGAATTGCCAGTAGTCTTCCAGCGGCTTATCTTTTCCCATTCCCACTACTGACTTACCATTTCTTTACAGTCTATGTGTGGTGGCGGCCATCTAGGTAGAGGCAGGGCTTGGCCTACTCCTGTGAGCAGGAAAGCAGTGACAACATTAAATCTGACTTCAGCTTTCCTGAGACTAGGGGTCAGAGGCAGCAGTGCCTTGGATCTTACACAGCAGATATACAGATATGAAGCAATCTGAAGGCACAGAGTACCTAGGCACACACACAGCCTACCAGAAAGCACGCTGCTTCTTTTTTTTTTTTTTTTAGGAGGAATTCCAGACATAAGGTAGATTTTTAAGGTCCTGATATGGTACAACTAAAATTTCCAAATTTCTCCAATAAAATACAAATCTGCACTTTTTAAAGTTCAGGTACTTATATAGCTCTGTCAATTTACACAGGCACGGGAGAACATGCAAGCTCCATGCAGGTAGTGCCATGGTCAGGATTCAAACCAATCACCCTAATGCTGCTAGGTGGAAGTACTAACCACTTAGCCACTAAGCTGCCCCAAGTCCACTTTAATGCCAATTAACCTACCAGCATGTCTTTGGAGTGTGGGAGGAAAACCACGCAGGCACGGGAGAACATGCAAGCTCCATGCAGGTAGTGCCATGGTCAGGATTCAAACCAACCAACCTAATGCTGCTAGGTGGAAGTGCTAACCACTTAGCCACTAAGCTGCCCCAGGTCCACTTTAATGCCAATTACCTATCACCATGTCTTTTTAGTATGGGAGGAAAACCGCACAGGAGAACATGCAAGCTCCATGCAGGTAGTGCCATGGTCAGGATTCAAACCAACCACCCTAATGCTGCTAGGTGGAAGTGCTAACCACTTAGCCACTAAGCTGCCCCATGTCCACTTTAATGCCAATTAACCTACCAGCATGTCTTTGGAGTGTGGGAGGAAAACCGTGCAGGCACGGGAGAACATGCAAGCTCCATGCAGGTATTTATTTATTTCAGGTACTTATATAGCGCCGTCAATTAACGCAGCGCTTTACATATATATTGTACATTCACATCAGTCCCCGCCCCCGAGGGGCGTACAATCTAAGGTGCCTAACTCACAATCGTATACAAGGGCCAATTTAGACAGAATCCAATTAACCTACCAGCATGTCTTTTTGGAGTGTGGAAGGAAACCGGAGTACCCGGAGGAAACCCACGCAGGCACAGGGTGAACATGCAAGCTCCACGAAGGTAGTGCCATGGTCAGGATTGAAACCAGCCACCCTAATGCTGCTAGGTGGAAGTGCTAACCACTTAGCCACTAAGCTGCCCCAGGTGCACTTTAATGCAAAAAGCAGATGTATAGGAAGAGGGGAACGAAAAGTGCTGAGACCAGCTTGAAACAGCTTCAGTGCCTCTATTGTGAACTTTCAGGATAAATTGCTCCACAGCGACTTTAGCTATTGAGGTTAGTGTGTACTTTTTTAAAGCTTGTTTGCTGCTTGTTAAATATATGTAACTATTGAATGTCCATCCTGCCCACAATTCTTGCTCTTCACTAAATCAAACAGGTTACTGACATAAAAAGCACTTTTCTTGCACAGACAGCCAAGAGAGGTATTACCTACAAATATTTGTATACGAAATACAGTCACCAAATCATGGACCAGCAAACATGTAAAAATATGAACGTTTGATACATGAGGTCACCATTCCAAGCATGAGTACTCATAGAATAATTTAATATCGTTTGATGAAAACAAACATCTAAAAAACATGACAAACGTAACAATAGCTGTCCTAATACAATGACGTCCATCCTCAAATGTCACAGAAACCTGTCAAAAAAGTAACAAAGAACAACATTCTTGTGTGCATATAGCCTAACTGTCACTTATTCCCTGATAGCATGCCTTGCCCTAGCCGCAGCTGAATGCCGGCATAGATCAATAAACTGCAGGAAGATCATACAGAGACATCCCCAGAAGGTTTCCAGGAAACGTATCTCCTATGAGGCCCTTAACAACATTTGCAATCCCCCTTTTGCCTGTTAAGGCCCAGAGATGAAGGGACGCTTACTACAATCTGCAATCTTGGACCCCATAGACGTATAGAAAAAAATAAAACTCCGCAATGCACACCATATATGCTCTCACTTACCCTCTTCTGGTCCTCCAGTCCATGTGTCACTGGCTTTCTCCTCTGATGATGCTTAGTCTCCGTAACAGATTCCATTTTTCGGATTAATCGTTCAGGAAATCCATAAAATAGGCGGAATATATTCCTTCTATAGCGCTCCTCCATTTGACCATCGAACCAGATGTCCCGCCGCTGCACTAACGCCATCCATGTTCAAAATTCCAAAGTGAATTTCAGCATAACGCATCCTCCGATCCCGCCGAATCCGGGCCATCCGAACGCTGAACGAAGACGCTGTATCCATCGCATTAGTTACCTTCTGTCCACCATGGGAAGTCACAAGGAGTAATCCGTATGAAAGCCAAAAAAAATATCTAACCTCAATATGGTAAGAATAGGAACCGATATCATCTGCACAGAAACGTAATAAAATCCAGCGGCTTAAAAAAAAAAATCGTCCAAACTTTAAATCCAAATTGTAAAAAAAGAGATCTGCATCCTAGGAATTCCACGCGAATATGGCATACCTGCGGGTACGAAAAAAAAAAAAAAACGTGCAGTTTTTTCATTAATGCGATGTTAAATGCTTAAAAAACACACACAAGGCACGCTTTACAAAAACGCTGGCATTATCCTACATTATTTTCCTGCATTACCAGAGAAATGCATCAACAAAAACAAAACATCAAAAATCGAATAAAAAATATGCGCATTTTATGTTAACCTTTGCCGTCAACAGGGCTTGAAAATACTACTTGAAACAGAAAATGATTTATACCGTAATGAAAACAACGGATACAAAATAACAACAACAAAATATAAAAATATACCGAACCATACGAACACAAAATATTCCCCGCGCGATGCTTGCAAACACTGAAGAGAAAACTGGGGGTAGGCTTTTTCCAGCAAGAAAAGCGAAGACATCTGCTGCTCTTTACCTCTGCATGCTCAATACAGAATAGCCTTTCACCGCCTGAATATAAATTGCGCAAACCCCTTGATCCTTTTTACCTTCCAGAAGTCTATCAGCAGCTCGGGAGCTCGAGGCACAGCCTGTAACCAAGTCAATTATTTCACAATGGTCTATAAAGGCACAATATGGTCGCTAAAAGATGCAAAACTATTGGACCCATTCATGAAAAAAAAAAAAAAAAATATGGACAACAGGGTAAACTAGCAAGTAACGACAGGGCAAGCGAATAATGTCGACTCGGAGGATTACAGGACTAATCGTATTCAGCGTGCGTATTAAGCCCAGGGTAACGCGGCGGAAAGTGTATACGTTTACAAACAGCGCAATAAAACAACTCAGAATGCAGCGTTTCTGCTATAAACAGCAGGAAAATGACATCAATTAACGGTGGTAGCTGGGTAATTACCGCTGATTACTTCAATTACTGTGTTACATTAGACTTTTGTAACAAAAAAAAAAACAAACAAAAATCAAAACAGAGATTGAGATATAAAAACGAGTGCAATAACACCATAAACAGCGCTCGCTGATGAAATACAAATCCCCGAATTTATGTGAAATATTAATAAATATAATAAATAAATATAAATATTATACAGGATTTATATATTATTATATTATACGGGATTTATATATTATTATTATTATACAGGATTTATTATATACAGGATTTTATTATTATTATACAGGATTTTATATAGCGCCAACAGTTTGCTCAGCGCTTATATATAATTCAATTTGCAAATAAAAAAAACACATCCACCAAAAAAAGTGCATTAAGTGTTTTTTTATTGTATTTATTTAAAATAGCAGCTCCGGTCACGGTTTGATTTATATTATTGATATAATTTATTTCACATTTTAGCACGAGGATACAGGCTGTACATTGGAACTTTTTTTTTTTATTGTTTAACCACTTCCAGTCCGGACACTTTTTTCCCCCCCTTCCAGTCCGGACACTTTCATCCCCTTCCAGTCCGGACACTTTCCCCCCCTTCCAGTCCAGACACTTTCACCCCCTTCCAGTCCGGACACTTTCCCCCCCTTCCAGTCTGGACACTTTCCCTCCCCCTTCCAGTCCGGACACTTTCCCCCCCTTCCAGTCCGGACACTTTCCCCCCCTTCCAGTCCGGACACTTTCACCCCCTTCCAGTCCGGACACTTTCCCCCCCTTCCAGTCTGGACACTTTCCCCCCCTTCCAGTCCAGACACTTTCACCCCCTTCCAGTCCGGACACTTTCCCACCCTTCCAGTCCGGACACTTTCACCCCCTTCCAGTCCGGACACTTTCACCCCCTTCCAGTCCGGACACTTCCCCCCCCCCTTCCAGTCCGGACACTTTCCCCCCCCCTTCCAGTCCGGACACTTTCCCCCCCTTCCAGTCCGGACACTTTCACCCCCTTCCAGTCCGGACACTTTCAACACCCCCTTCCAGTCCGGACACTTTCCCCCCCCCTTCCAGTCCGGACACTTTCACCCTCTTCCAGTCCGGACACTTTCTCCCCCTTCCAGTCCGGACACTTTCACCTCCTTCCAGTCCGGACACTTTCACCCCCTTCCAGTCCGGACACTTTCACCCCCTTCCAGTCCGGACACTTTCACCCCCTTCCAGTCTGGACACTTTCACCCCCTTCCAGTCTGGACACTTTCACCCCCTTCCAGTCTGGACACTTTCACCCCCTTCCAGTCCGGACACTTTCACCCCCTTCCAGTCCGGACACTTTCCCCCCTTCCAGTCCGGACACTTTCCCCCCCTTCCAGTCCGGACACTTTCCCCCCCCTTCCAGTCCGGACACTTTCCCCCCCTTCCAGTCCGGACACTTCCCCCCCTTTCCAGTCCGGACACTTTCCCCCCCTTCCAGTCTGGACACTTTCCCCCCCTTCCAGTCCGGACACTTTCCCCCCCTTCCAGTCCGGACACTTTCACCCCCTTCCAATGCAGACACTTTCCCCCCCTTCCAGTCTGGACACTTTCACCCCCTTCCAGTCTGGACACTTTCACCCCCTTCCAGTCCAGACACTTTCCCCCCCTTCCAGTCCGGACACTTTCCCCCCCTTCCAGTCTGGACACTTTCCCCCCTTCCAGTCCAGACACTTTCCCCCCCCTTCCAGTCCAGACACTTTCCCCCCCTTCCAGTCCAGACACTTTCCCCCCCTTCCAGTCCGGACACTTTCCCCCCCTTCCAGTCCGGACACTTTCACCCCCTTCCTGTCCAGACCAATTTTCAGCTTTCAGCGCTGTCACACTTTGAATGACAATTGCGCGGTCATGCAACACTGTACCCGTATGAATTGTTTTGCATTTTTTTTTTACACAGATAAAGCTTTATTTTGGTGGTATTTATTCACCGCTGGTATTTTTTTCTTTTGCAATGTAAATGAAAAAGTCCAAAAATTTGGAAAAAAGTGTTTTTCTTATAAAATTTTGCAAATAAATAATATTTCCTCATAAATCTTGTCCAAAATGTATTCCGTTATCTTTTAGTGAAAAAAAAAAAAAAGCCTCGTACACACGATGAGAATGTCAGACGAATGATCGTCTTTTTTTGGCTTTTCATGTTTTTTCTGTAATCAATGTTTTTTGGCTGGAAAAATCCCCCAGGACTAGTGGGTTTCTAGAGGAGTTTTTTAGCTGTAAAAACTCTCTAATGCTGAAAAACGCGGGAAAACACGGTAAAATGCTGCAAACCAGCGTTTTTGGTCTGTTTTCAAGCAAAAAAAAACCCAGCTAAAAAATGCAAACACCGAAAAACGTGGGAATACGTTGCTAAACACGGCAAAACGCTAATCCAAAAATTCTAAAAAAAGCTGAAAAACTCAACTTTTTAACGTGACTTTATACAGCTAACGTTACCAGCGTTATCAAAATGTCCCGTGTGAATGAAGCTTCAGTCCTCCTGCACACCGGGCATTTTTACAGCGGCTGTTTTTGGCTTTTGATGTTTTTTTCTACAGCCAGTAACCCCCCCAGCATGTTATCCTCGGTGTCCATACACACATAGACCGGAATCAACGTTTTGTGGCTGGAAAAACCCCCAGACTAGTGGATTTCTAGAGGGAGTTTTTTTAGCTGTAAAAATGCGCTCATGCTAAAAAACGCACCAGAACGCGGTAAAATGCCACAGACCGGCGTTTTCAGTCTTTTTTTGACCAAAGAACCCCCACTAAAAGGGTTAAAAAACACAAACACGGAAAAAAATTGCTAAACGCAGCAAAACACGGCAAAACGCTAATGCAAAAAAGCTACAAAAAATCTGAAAAACGGACGTGACTTTAATGTGACTTTACACAGCTAACGCCAAAGTCGTCCCCCCCCCCATGTGCATGGAGCCTGATTCTTCTTGACAGTATACCTGCTTGCCCGTACACCCCATACACCCCATACACCCCATGCAGCGAGCAGATATTCTGACAGGTGTGCAGGAGACCTGCATGGCATCGGCGATCTGCTGGTGCAATGATTTCCAGGCTCCTGCAGACAAAAATAATAAATGCACATTTTTTTACCTGCAAAAAAATGTGCAATTATTATTTTTGTTGAAAAGGTGAACTTATCCATTAAGGGCCAGACTGTAGTCCCTTCACATCAGAGCTCCCCCCTCACATCAGAGCCCCTCCCTCTTTACATCAGAGCCCCCCCCCTTTCATATCAGAGGCCCCCCCTCACATCAGAGCCCCCCCCCTTCATGTCAGAGGCCCCCCACACACACATCGGAGTCCCTCCCCCCCAATCACATCAAAGCCCCCTCTATACATCAGAGGCACCCCTCCCCCACAAACACAGAAGGCCCCCCCTCACATCAGAGCCCCTCCCTCTTTACATTAGTGCCCCCCCCTTCATGTCAGAGGCCCCGCATACACATCAGAGTCCCTCCCCTTGATCACATCAAAGCCCCCTCTATACATCAGGGGCTCCCCTCCACCACTTAGAAGGCCCCCATCACATCAGAGCTCCCCCCATCAAATCACAGACCCTCCCTCTTTACATCAGAGCCCCCCATTCATGTCAGAGGCCCCCTACACACATCAGAGTCCCTCCCCTATCACATCAAAGCCCCCTCTATACATCAGAGGCCGCCCTCCACCACTTAGACAGAAGGCCCCCATCACATCAGAGCTCCCCCCTTCAAAACACAGTGCCTTCCTCTTTACATCAGAGCCCCCCCCCTTCATGTCAGAGGCCCCTCTACACACATCAGAGTCCCTCCCCTATCACATCAAAGCCCCCTCTATACATCAGCAGCTCCCCTCCACCACTTAGAGAGAAGGCCCCCCTCACATCAGAGCCCCTTCCTCTTTACATCAGAGCCCCCCCTTCATGTCAGAGACCTCCCCACACATCAGAGTCTCCCCACCCCGATCACATCAAAGCCCCCTTTATACATCAGAGGCCCCCCTCCACCACTTAGATAGAAGGTCCTTATCACATCAGAGCTCCCCCATCACATCAGAGCCCCTCCCTCTTTACATCAGTCTCCCCCCCACTTCATGTCATAAGTCCCCCCCCACAAACATCAGAGTCCCTCCCCTTTCACATCAAAGCCCCCTCTATACATCAGGGGCCCTCCTTCACCACAAACACAGAAGGCCCCCCCATCACATCAGAGTTCCTCCTACACATCAGAGCCCTCCATCAAATCACAGTACCCCTATGACAGAGTCTCCCCTGGTTCATAGAGTCCTCTCATCCAACTTTCGTGCTTGGGGTGGGGGAACACCCAAATGGCACCCTGATTGAGAAACACTGCCCTAGCACACCCCTATTATTATAACCGCACACATGGCCTATGTAGACTTTCACTACCCGTACCACTTGAGGGCAAGAATTGCCAGGAGCATGGCTGCCCAGCTGGGATAACATTGAGTGTCTGACTGCACAGGATAATGGTGTGCTCTGCCTGGGGGGAGGGGGGGTCCAAAGTCCCAATTCACTGCAATTACCCGCAGACAAAAAAAAAAAAATGCTGAGCATCAACCACAACGCAACCAACAAAGTAAATGAAAGATAATTGTCACTGAATTCTGCAACCCCACTTTCTGTTATTGTTCCACCGCCCAGCGATCCGCGCGAAGCTGCAGCAATCTGGTGGTGCGCCCCCCCCCCCCTATTGTTAGCATCCAAACTATGCAGAATCGCATGTGATATGAGGTATCCTCTACATAACGATGGTGGGGGGTGGGGGGGGGACATCTGTTCAGCATCTGGAGTACCCCACGTGTAGCGTGTCTTTGTATCTTTGATGTAGCAGACTTCCTCGTAGGACATCTCACAGGTCCAAAGTGTAGAATGTCGCTGATTGATCCAGCGAGGACAGTAAATGTAGGGGCGTCCTCTGAAACATCATCGGGAGAACTGACTAAGGTGGGAGCAGCTGTGCATGCCAGCCAATCAGCTTCTGGCTTTTATTTTCAAAGCTTAACTGAACAAGCTGAAGTTAGAAGCTGATTGGTTATCATTCACAGCTGCTCCAGATTGTGTCTGCTCCAGTTTTAGTAGATTCCCTCCGATGCTATCTTATGATATAAAGCAGTGGTCTCCAAACTGAGGCTGGATGTGGCCCTTTGTCTGGCCCTTGTCTGGCCCTTGAGGCATTATTCTTTCCTCTGACACCAACATTGTGGCATCATTTCTCCTACTAACACCAACAATGGAGCAAAATTCCTCCCACTGACACCAATGATACGGGACTATTCCTTCCACTGACACAAATGATGGGGCACTATTCCTCCCACTGACACCAATGATGGGGCACTATTCCTCCCACTGACACCAATGATGGGGCACTATTCCTCCCACTGACACCAATGATGGGGCACTATTCCTCCCACTGACACCAATGATGGAGTACCATTCCTCCCACTGATACCAATGATGGGGCACTATTCCTCCCACTGATACCAATGATGAGGCACTATATTCCTCCCACTGACACCAATGATGGGGCATTATTCTGCCCACTGACACCAATGACGGGGCACTATTCCTCCCACTGATACCAATGATGGGGCACTATTCCTACCACTGATACCAATGATGGGGAACACCAAATCCTCCCACTGACACCAATGATGGGGCACTATTCCTCCCCACTGATACCAATGATGGGGCACTATTCCTCCAATGATGACACTGACGACCAATGATGGGGCACTATTCCTCCCACTGACACCAATGATGGGGCACTATTCCCCCCACTGATACCAATGATGGGGCACTATTCCTCCCACTGACACCAATGATGGGGCACTATTCCTCCCACTGTTACCAACGATGGGGCACTATTCCTCCCACTGACACCAATGATGGGGCACTATTCCTCCCACTGACACCAATGATGGGGCACTATTCCTCCCACTGACACCAATGATGGGGCACTATTCCTCCCACTGACACCAATGATAGGGCACTATTCCTCCCACTGACACCAATGATGAGGCACTATTCCCATGACACCACTGACACCAATGATGGGGCACTATTCCTCCCACTGATACCAATGATGGGGCACTATTCCTCCCACTGACACCAATGATGGGGCACTATTCCT